GTTTGTCCTTGACTATTTATAAAGTACTTCAGACTCTTCAGCTTAAGGCACTGAACATTCTCCAAATTCTTCTGAAATTTAGAATTCTATCCTTTTCCATATTTTTAATCCTCCATCCTGGGAGACATTGTACCCCCCACATGCATTCTGTGGCATGTAAAGATAATTACAGTAACAAAAGAAGAAGCCTGCTAGGAGAGGTATGTAATTACCTCTGGGCATTACCAGAATAACGAAGCTCAGAAACAAATATTTTGGAGGAACACACTGGTTGTAATAACTTGACTGCTAGGAGACACCTTCTTGGGACCACAGGGGAGGAGGAGTAGCACTCCTAAACAAATGTCTCTTTACTGTCCCTAAATGCACTCAGAAATGTCCAGAGCAACATGCATTTGCTGCCCACCACACTGGAGTAGCAGCCCTAACAGAGTCCATCATAAAGCATGATTGCTCTCTGCACTTTCTACAAGCACATGAAGAAAAGCCATTCTTGGTAACAGTAGCTCCATTGTTAATAGCATCATCTTCAGTTAATTTCTATAGTCTGAAATTAATTTTTCTCTCCTGCAGTGTTTTTTTTCAGGTTTTAAGAGCCTAATCTTGAGGACTGAATCACAATTACAACCTTATCTCAGAAACTGACACCACATTATTAGAAAGCAAATAACTAGATAATTATCTGGATGATAGAAATGAACATTTTGGCCCTTTTCTTTTTGAACAAAAAAAATTATCTCAGTGACCAAATACAGATAAGATCACCCACACTGGCAATATGAGTTCAGACACTGCAGTGATTTCCTCAAAAAAAAAAAAAAAAACACCTGTTGACATCTCAGTTAGCAGGTCATCCAGCTGAGATGGAAAGAAATAAAGGTTAACCTTCTGCTATATATGAGCAGATTGATGTACAGTGAGAGAAGCCTCCCTTTTTTCCCCCAACCACCATTACTTAAATTTATAAAAATCATGACTCTGAAGTGAGATAACTTTAGTACTTGAATACCAAATGAATTTGTATGGAAATCTATCAAATAAATAGCTTGTTTATTAGATATTAATTTAAAACTGATACTTTCCAGCATATACCATTTACTATCGAAAGGAAACTTATTATCCTAATTGCTCTTTATAAAGAAATACTGAGCACTCCTCAAACTCTCCACATAGTCGAAGTTAATTGACAAATTATCGGCAATACATAAAAGAATTAATTAAACTATTAATAAAATAACTGTTGCACATGCATTTTCCATTTTTCAGAGTACAAGAAACTGCTCATGTTCTCCAGACAATGGGAACATATGTATTACTCCTGCTTCCAGATCTGGAATGCATTTAGTTCCAGGAGAATGTATTAATTCTACAGCAATATGCTAAAATTTTCACCCCTTTGAGGGTCTGAATATAGGCATTTAGACTTTTCGGATTTACCACTCTTCCAGATGCTCTATATACTGGTCCAAATCAACCAGGATTTCTCTTCATGCTGAGAATTAAGCTTAACAGATCACTCAAAAATCAAAGTTAATTGTTTCAAGAACAAAAAGAAAAACCACAAATACTACCCATTTAACTACCAATGTTCTAGAACAGCCACAAAGACCTACATTTATCTACTCCAACAATGTTGTTATCTGATATAAAATTTCATATCTGAACTGTCAGTTAAGCATGAGGAAGATGTAGGAAAACTAAGGAAGGATTTCAGAGTGGAAAAGAAGCAATAAAATGCATCTTATTGGGATCTGTTACAAAAATCAGGGACATGAAGAAAGATAGGCAATAAACCACAGAATCACACAATCATAGGGGTTAGAAAGGATTTTGGAAGATCATCTAATCCAACTCCCCTGCTAAAGCATGTTCCCTAAAGTAGGCTGCACAGGAAAGCGTCCAGGCGGGTTTTGAATATGTCCAGAGGAGGAGACTCCACAACCTCAATAGGTAGCCTGTCCCAGTGCTCTGTCAGCAAATACCTCAAAGTATTTTCTTATGTTTAGATCAAACTTTTTCTTCCAGTCTGTGCCCACTGCCCCATTGTCCAGCCACTTGGCACCACTGTAAAGAGCTTGCTCTATCCTTTTGACACCCACTCCAACTTTTAATCATTTCTTAAGGGATTGCTCTCATTAAATGTTTAAATGTATTGTTTGATCCAAAACTCATTAAAGTCAGACAGAAAACAGAAACCCAACATGCAATTTAACAGTTGCAATATGCAGAGTACAATCATTGTCATTGGTATCAAAAGTTCATGCTTGGCTGAGAAATGCAGATGTTGGTGGGTGCTCATGTATAAGAGCATATGCTTTTGCTCACCAATACAACTGTCAAGTATCACCAATCCACCACAAACAAGGGTTGTAATACTTAGCCTTTAATGAGTTTCAAGTTAATGATGCTTATGTATTGTCCAGATACAATATACAGACTTACTTATGTAGTCACTCTAATAAAGATTAAAGCCCCAAAACATCAAGATTATATTCACTGTAATGAAGTTTAAAAAAAAAGTAAAACAGAAGTAGTCAGTTGTCAAAGCACAAAGCTGAAGCTTCACCTCATAGTAAAATGTTTTCACATAATTCGTATTTACTATTCTAACAAATATCATTTATTTAAAGGAGCAAGAAATAAAAGTTTGGTTTTTTTTTTTTTGCATATACTGTCAATAATCTCTTCCAATAATCTTATACGAGATCAGAACAAAACACAGTACATCAGCTAGAAGATTAAGTGAACTCAGGCTTCTAAAAATGTGCATAAAATGACTGTTGGATCAGAGATAACATTATATGAGGATTGGACTGAATCAGCTTTAGAGGTCCCTTCAACCTCTTCTGCGATTCTGTAATAGATATCTGAGATACCTATGATATCTTAGAAATACTTTTAAAATATCAAGATTTCCTGATTCTGATAACTTTTGCCAGACACTTTGGATGGCAGGTTCTGTGAAAGGGGGTAAAAACAATTACAACTTCAATATATTTTATGTTTATTAATATACAAAAACAGTCTTCTGGCATTACTACTGCTAATATGTCCACAGCAACGCTAACACAGCCCTTAAGCAAGGTGGACTCGCATCAAGAAAGCAGGCTGCTTCTCCAGCCTGCTTTGGTGCCTCAGAGTCTCTCTATCCTTTCATCTCAGTGAACATTGGTGAAACATCTTTAGCGAAGGAACTGTCACATACATCAACACTCTGATATCTGTGGACTCATAAGATGGGGTCCAACTTTAACAGAGACTACTTGGTGAAAGTTGAGAGGGGACAGAGAGAACGCAACAGTCATTTAAATTCTTAGTAACTGCCAAATTTTACATTAAACGCATAACTGCATAATAAAAGTACTCTTTTTATTTTTGGTTTGAGTATCCCGATGATTCCCGTGACAGTAGAGACACTGGTCCGACATGTCTGTCTGTAAGTCCAATTCTTAAGTGATTCCTTTCTCCTCAACTGCATATTAGGTAAGCTGGAAATTAAAGATTTCTAGAAGATGACTCCTAACATCAGCATCAAAGATGCTCTGCTGATGCCAAGGACTTACAGAGATCTATAAGCACAGGGAGGGAAAGAATGATTTATTTTGATGTTTGATCAGATGCTGATGCCTTCAGAAATCCTGGATGATTACAGAAGGCTAGTGTTCAGAAATGCCTTGCAAGTTCACAACCCAAAATCCATTAAAAGGTGAAAAACTTCTAAAGAACAGTTTTAGAATATTTTCCTTTTAAAAGCCAATGAAAAAGACATGTAGGTTTTCAGAACGTTGCTCTTTAAACTACTCCAGCAACTTCAGTATGGAGACGCATTAGTCCACATTCTACAGTGAGAAACTTAAGGTAAGTTAACATTTATTTTAAAACAAGTCATAAAGGCATAGATAAAGTAATTAGCAAACGGTCATCCTGCAGCTGAACTTAGAATCAAAACTGTACCAATATAAGTACCTGGTTCTCATCTTTGTCAGTAATACGTCCTATTTCTCTCTCAAATACCATCTTTAAAATAAATTCAAACTCCTGTTTCCATCTTAACAGAAACTTACATGTTAGAAGGAAGATTCATTCTTCAGCCAATGGCCTGTCTTAGCAATTAGCTGATCTTCCAGCCACACTCCTTGCATTAGAGGCGACCTACCAGAATTCAAGAAGCATTTAAACAGTGCTCTCAGAAATACGATCTGAATTTTGGATAGTCCTGTGTGAAGCCAGGAATTGGACTCAAAGTTCTTGTGAGTCTCTTCCAGCTGGGGATATTTATGATTTTACCTATTTCTTTGCTTTGCCAATCTTAGACATTACCTGCACACAACTTTATGTTAGATCAGGTGAAAAAAAAAAAAAACAAAAAACAGGTTGTTTCTTTTTTTTTCTTATTCCTGTAACTCCAGCTTACTGAGACTCAAAGGATCACATTCACAGGTGAGGATGAGTTATCAGCTCAGAAGCATGGTGGAAACACTGATTACACTGTAAGCACATATAGGGCCTCTTCTCCCTTTTGTGAGTTCTTTGATGGATAACGAGGCTAGATCTGCAAGTAAAACGATCACCACAATCTGAACACTCAAATGATATTTTCTGCCTCTGGTGCATCTTTTGGTGCTGAATCAGAGCCGAGTTGCAGTTGAAGACCTTGTTACACTGTGTGCATTTGTGAAGTTTTTTTGCAGTCTGGATACACAGATGATTCAAGAGGCTTGAGCTGCGGCTGAAACATCTTTTGCACACAGTGCACTCATAAGAACTCTGTCCTGGTGAAGGTCTCCCTGAGATCACATTGTCTTGGAAGTTTTCCACATTACAGCATCTCTTCTTGGATACCGCTGTCTGTTTCTCCTCAAAGGCTGTTTGCAAACTGGCATTTTGAGACTTTTCACCCTTCTGACAACCTTGGTCATTGTTCTGGAAGATGTTTTCTCTTTGGCTTCCTGATGACACCTTGTGCTTTTCTGCATTTTCCAGTCCCTCCTGTTCATGATTTTCCCCTTCCTTCTCAAGTCTATCAGCCACTGAAGATTTAAAAAAACAAACAAACAAACAAACAAACAAAAACACTTTGCTATTGTTTACAAACAGCAGATATTACTCCTTGCCATCTGTAATTTGGAGCTAAGACTTCTAAGCAGAGTAGTATAAAAATATGAAATAAGTAAGTTTTAACATTTTAGTGATAGTGAATCATTTACCCTCAGCTTTGAGAATTTACAATTGCAGTGGAAAAAATTTAAATATGCTTACATATGTAAAATCCTAAACTGAATCCAAGCTGTACAACTAAGACCTCAAGTTTCATTGTATTCAGTATTACAAAAGGGGTAGAAATCCATTGTGCATGATGTTTTCAAAGGCATTGATACTATTTTGTATTATCAAAGAAAGAACAGCAATCTTACCAATCTTTAAAAGACACAAGAGGACATTGTAACCATTAATTTGACCTCTTGCAATTGAGAGGCTTCGAAGGTTGAACTGAACTCTAATAAACATGTTCTGTTTCAAACAATAATTAAAAATTCAGCACATGGATTACTTATATACCTATATATCTAAGATACGTAGCAAAGCAGGAAGCTTTCTACATTCTACTCTGTAAAAATAACATGACTTACAACCATCACGTCTGTTCCTTGAAAAGTCTTGACAATCTTGCTTGGTAATCCCTTAGGACAAACACAAGGAAGAAAGTGGATTTTATCCAGTTATGTATGCAAATCTCCAGATTAATGCATTAATGCAGATTAATCTTTTATCCTTGTTTAAATCAAAAGCCTTTTGCTTTAAAGACTAAGATGGAAATCTGTCTCCATAATTTCTATTTTCATGTTCTTTTTTAGTAAGGTACCAGATGTGAAGTGGATTTTCTGGTATGAACACCTGAACCAAGGTTATTAGAACTTCCAGACTCAGGAATGTTAAAGATGAGACAACTGATGAGGTCACATTATTGCTAAATCCTGCACCTGCAGAATTTCAGGCCAACCCTCAACATTTTTCTCCCTGTTCTCCTGTATAAAAACCTGCATGCTACCACATCTTATGTGCTTATTACCTAGCTCCTTAAGGTTGTCTTCTGTAACAACTGTTAGAAGATAGTATTTGATCTTTGATTCTTTGCTTTCTTCTTCCTCGTTATGGAATGGTTCTTCAGGCTGTGGCCAGTTAAGCTGAGAGCTAGAAGACTCACATAATTTCACAGGATCGACCATCTTTCACACAAGTCACTCTTCAATCTTAAAATGCTTTGTAACCTGGAAATGAATCAAACACATTACTGTAGAAGCAAGACTTTCAAATCAGAAGAAGTCAGAACAGGCAGAACATTGTTTCATCCCAAATCAAGGAATACATACTGCTTGATCCTATGTAGGATTTCTTCAACTGAATCAACACTAGAAAATATGTCTTTTCTCAGTCTGCTGAATCAACTTTGAATTCAGTTTTTAGATTTTGATTCTAGCTCCTAGACCTACTGTGAGTAATGCTAAATAGTCTTAGAGAGTCTATGTAAAGGTTTCTCAGCCATTTCTTCCCTTCTCTGTCAGTTTCATCCACATGCGCTCTTGGGTGAATCGAGATTTTATTTCCAAATACTTCAAAGTTCCAGTGGAAGTTACTCTTTAAAGTGTCCTTTGTCTCTTTTGTGCCTTCAAATTTTACTTGTATAAAGGAGAAAACAATCCTTTTATAATAACATTGAACTAAATGCACAAATAGTCACAAACAGTGTAATATGACATAAATAAATCCACAGATTACGGGTCAGTTATCTATCTTGGAAATTTTAGGGGAAAAAAAAAGAGCTTCATTTCAATTTTCTCATCATTTGTTTCTTCAGTGGAAGAAGTAGAATAAGTCACATTACATTTAAATTTTCATCAAAGCGCACTTGGTGAATTTTAATTACCTAATTTCCTACTTTGTGACATTATGCCAGAACCTCAAGCCTTTCCATTTTTCCATGGGACTTTTTCCACATTTCAGCATAATTCATGGCATGCTCAGAACCTCCAAGTTCCCATCTGGCACGAAAGAGGTCCTCTTGTAGGTATTAAGTTGCCCTACTTTACTCTGTATAACGTGGGATCCTGATACGTCCAATGGCTCATTGAATTTTCAGACTCTAAAGCTCTAAGCTGTCCACATGAAAAGATGATTGCACTTTGGGAAAACCTAAGACGGCAAATCTTTAAAAGCCTACTATAGACAAATTATTATCCTGGGAAAATGGGAGTCACAAAGGCATAACAGCTCCAGTTTCATTCTAATTAGATGGAAATGTTAAGTCAGAACAGTTGCTTAGTTGGACCTACCTGGACGACTTTCCCAGACCCAGCTCTTATAGCAAGATATGAAGGAACTGTTACAAGATATTCATGCCCATAATTTGCACCTTTTCTAAGTCTCCAATTTCAGCTTATAATTCCAGTCTTCTATAATGCTCAAAGGTACCCTTAGCCTCCAAGCAGCGTAATTTTCTGAACAGCTAGTACTGCTTCTCTGTGCTGATACTTACCTCTTGCAGGACAGCTATTTTGACTGCCATTATCTCCCCTGTCTTCCAGTCTTACTACACACCTCTCAGCCATTTCTGATGAAAAGCAGATTTCTGTAGGTGATCAGTAGGTTACAGACCCATTCAAAGTCAGACAAATAACCTTCACAGCTTAAACTGTGGCAGGTAAAATTTTCCTAGACCGAGAATAAAGGAGACTGCAAGGTATGAAAAATCTGCTGGCACCAAGAATCTTGACATTTTGCCATGCCAGCAAAGAATGATGAACTACTCCATTGAAATGGATCCTACTTTCCTCATTAATTAATGACTCTGCCTTACCAACCCACAAGATTTACAAGTTTATGTCAGTCTCTTCCAAATTTCAGAGCTAATCCTGTCTGTTCATTACACGTACATTGCTCCAAAAGTAATGCCTCCATTTTTTTTTTTCCAATAGAAAGTACAAAGAGCACAACAACTCTATTTGATAAAGCAAATTCTCAGCTACAAAACACTATTGTTAACAGTCACCATCATTAGCTATGCATTCTCACTAGCAATATACAGGAGCCTAAATGCAAAGTTCACAAAAATCTTCAGCAGCAGAGGTGACCCATTGTTCACAGCTGCTATTATAGCATCATTGTTGAGATGCACCCACCACCCACCACATATCCACCTTCTGTGCTCATATCCACCATCTGATCTCCATAAACATTAAGCAAGAGTCAGTGAACATCAATGGTTGCCATTTTTTTCCACACTGAGAAATTCAACCACACACATGCTTCATATGTATCTCCATGTCAGACACCATTTCATTAGATTGCCCTTCCACTGTCATCTATCACAAAGGAACAACATGTAATGGAATACTGTCAGGAAGGTACAACCTCTACTGCCGCACCACCAACACCCACCTCTGATGTTGTGAGCCAACACAATAAAATAAAAGACATTACTTCTGAAGGGTGGAGCACCCTTCATACTATATTAAATCATAAAGTAAGTGACATTCCAGTAATGGCATCTAGTTCTAACACATTTGTCTGTGTCTTGTAGGCAGTCTTTTTCTCCCCTACATCAAATCTGTGCAAAAATTGCTAAGCCTTAGTAATTTATATCTGATGAAAGCTAATCAAATTTACTTTCACAACTTAGAGTCTGCAGAAGCATGAAAAAATGTGGATGGAATGGCCAAGGCAAGAAAGCATACATACAACTGAGAAATGTCATCTGAATGGATCACAATAAATAAATAAATAAATAAATACATGAGATCCTACTCTTATTTTCCACAAGATTAAAAAAAGTCAGAAATAAACAAGAACTCTTCCATACAAGGCTCTGAAACAGAGATCATAAAATTTCAATAAAAATTGGTTATCTAGAATTTCTGGCTTCTTTGGATGCAATCTAAACATAATGAATGTGATAATTAACATTTCTGCATTTTACAAAGCATCATTTAAAAGTTACATTGCATGAATTTTCATGTAAAAAGCTATTAAGCATACAGTTTTTAAAGCTCATTCAATATTCAGAGCATTTCTAAAAGCAGTTATCTATGGAATTCCAAAAATATATTTTCACTTTATAAAATTAAAATTTAGCCCTGATTATTTCGGACAGAAGTTTTCAAATGGAATCTAAGTACATACTGATAGAAAAGGACAATACATAAGCAAAATAAAAATATAATTTTATTATCTCACCACTGATAATCCAAGTCTACGGTGTTGGGACACCTCTTCCATGAACCCTTAGAGGTGTAACATTGTTTACATATGTCAGGATAGAGAAACATAAATGTAAACAATAATAACATTTAAAATATGTATTTTTCCCTGTTATTTATAATTTGTGCTTGCAAAGAAGTGCTTTTATCTCTGTGACAGCTAGAAATCTACTCGTACCAAACTGTCACGGAAAGTGAGATGGTGGATCTTGGTCTCAGCCAGAATGGGAGTTTTCTTAGGAGCTCAACTTTACAAGATACATAAAAAGTGTCAGACAGTAAATGATGTCACCTGCACTATCTATAGACTCCTCTATTACCAACTGCAAGCTGTATTTAGAAATACAGCGCTATGCTGTCTCAGTCTTTAAAAGGAAATCTACTCCAAGAGCTATCTCAAGATAAATGCATGAGAGTTCTGTAGTGGAAAGAAGAGCGCAGAGATGCAGTAGCAGAACGAAACAGAAGAACTTGCAACTTTCAAAATAATTAATAAGGAGGGCCTTTCAATCTGATTTTACCAATCATTGTCTTTTTCTAGATGGTGTTAACGTACATACACTATATGTCCTTTTAATAATTTGACTTACAGTAAACTTTAAGTACCATAGTTTTAAAACTACATCGTTTAAAACAAGCAGAGACCAGTACAATCTATTATGTACATACATGAGAGCCCAGATTCCCAGACTCTGGCTGCAATCTGAGGAGGCCAAGACGGGGTGCGTAAGGATGCAGCCCAGTGAGAGAGCATAGGACTCTCTGGGGCTCTCTGGGTTGGCTCGAGCAACCTCCTCCTAGGGAGATAACCCATCTCCTCAAGCCAGGGGCAGCGTGACTGAAGAGATAGCCCTGAACCCCTACTCCATGTGTTAAGAGCTGGGGCCACCAGGTGAGGGCGATATCTCATCGAAATAGGTGTCCCTCCTACTGGGGATAGGAAGATGAGTCAGCTCCACCTAGGCCAGTGGAATTATCTCCTTTCAAAGCATTGGCAGAAGGCCAGATTTATGCTCTTGATCATGTGGGACTGAGTCATGCGTGCCTACAGGCAATTTAACGAGGCTTGTGTTAATTAGGGGGGATTGGGAGCAATATTCGATTCAGAGACTACGTTGCCCTCCCAGCTTTTCTGAAACGACATCTTCCTTGGAACATCAGGCTGTGAGGCCCCCACCCCAGGCGCCATTCAGTCTTTACAGCCCCCGGGCTTTGGGTGCTTTAGGAAGCTAAGCAAGTTTCTTAGCTCCGTCTTTGTTCAAGACCGCTGCAAGATAAATACGTTGATTAAATAACATTCTTGCTTAAACTGTAGTTCTCTGCTGCTTTATGGTCATCCCGTGTTTGACACAGGAAGGCTGATGACTACAGTGCCTGGCAGGGAGCTGGGCGCATCGCCTGCCGCTTCGGGAGAGGTTCGCAGCGCCAATGAGAGCTGCTATGTCCCCCTCCAGGTTACGGCTGAAGCGGAGTTCCTACGTCTGGAAACACAGCTCAGATACTAAGCGCCATAGGGTGGCTGTAAGGGGAATGCAGGAAGCTCCAAACAGCCCTGCATGTTACCACACGAAAGAATAATTCTACAAACTGCTCGGCTGCTTAACACTTTCATCACGTTTTCGATTTTGCTGAGATTCTCTCTTAGAAGGACCTGTTCTGTGTCCCAGATAGAAAATGTAAGACCATGACAGGCGTTTCAGAAGAATACGGAGAGCTAATTATAAATCCACCGCGAACTCTGAGTCCAGGATATTTCAAGAATTTTCTCTTGTTGCAGCATGTTGCTGCATCGCCTCTCCAGTTCTCCCTCTCCCCATGCACTTTGGGGAAGCAGATCTGAAACAATCCAAAGCCAAAAAAAAAAAAAAAAAAAAAAAAAGCTCGATTTTAAGCAGTGGGTCAAGCCGATCTTGACGTCCCAGCCCAGCTGCTTAAGCACGCACCGTAGCTCCCCAGGACACAGGAGGGCAGGAGCTCCTTGTTTCCACCCGGGTAGGCTGTGCAGCCTGCTCCTCATCAGCCTGCAGCATTCTGCCAACCAGCAGGAAAATCGATGAGGCAGGCTTATCTGAAGACCGAGATTACTTCCTCCAAATAGGATGAAGCACTTAATACTTGAGGGTCTGATGAGGACTGGTGATAGCTGAGTCTGCAGCTAGAACGCAAAATCCATTTCTAAGCCTAGTCAACCTACTCAGGCCCCGGCTCCTCTCTGTTCAGCAGCTGCTTGGACAAAGCTTTTCTTTCTCACTTCATTAGAGATTTCACCTCAGTAACAAAGAATCCAATCCAGGCCCTGATAACAAACATTCCTCCCCCCCCCCCCCCCCTCCCCCCCCCCCCCCCCCCCCCTTCCCCCAATCCAGGGAAAGCAGGCAAGGGGTACTTAAGCTAAAAAAATTCTAGCTTTTTTTTTTGTCCTGAAACTCAGTGCAGCTGAACATTCAGTGCCCCCTGTTGCAGGCTTTTCTCTAAGCAGCCAAAGCTGAGGGATTGCTGTATATGGCAATCTGCACACAAGAATTTTCCTAAAAGATGTCTTAACTCTGATAGAAAGACTACAAACGGAAAGGAAAAGAGAAACAACTTCCATGGACAGAGCATAATAAACGCAGTATTTACGAAAAAATCGCAAAATGTGTAACACCATCTCTTAGAGTTCTATCCACACATCCTCAAAACGTTAACGAATCCTCACATCTCGTGCTGCATTTGGGAAAGAAACCATGGAGGTGTTAACTCTTCAAATGTTGCTGCAAACAAATTTCGCACACGTATACATACATATCAGTTAAAGAAATTATGAGATCTGAGTGTTGATACTGACAAAGTTTTACACTTAAAGTCAAACCTTACTGAATCCATCCACTCCGACGACACTTACTGTTGGAGATCAGTTCTCACCCTCTATTGAAGACCAGCACCACGAGCACCGACCTTTGCGTTTTCTGCGGCTGCTGAAGCACAGGCAAACAAAGAGCCTCAAAGACCTTCCTGCACCACTCTCCACTCCCTCAGTTTAGGCTTTACTTTCGATTTCAAGTTCCGGATCCTCTCCTGCTGCTCCGCCCCGGTTCCGTTTGAGTCCTTTGTCTCACCAGTCTTCTTCCTGCATATCGCTGCTGGCAGCCCCTGGGGCTCGCATTGTTCTGGCCTGGCGACCTGGGCTACCTGAGCACTCTCCTGCGGTGGCCGCATTGCTGGCATGCCTGTGCTTACCTGGCTGTGCCACCGCAGTGTCGCCGAGGGCTTGCTCGGTGCTTATGCTGGTGTAGAAGGCTTATATTCAGGTTAAAAGCAAACTAGTATACTCAACACATTTTTAATAAGGAGATGTTACTGGCTCTGTCTTGGCTGCTGTGCATACCTTCCTGCAGTTTATGTAATTTTCTGTTAATATCTTTACTATTAATTAACACGAAACACTGAATGTATGTATTTGTTAACACTTCATATAAGTGGTTTCCTCATACGTACAGAAAATGTGCTACTACAAATTGGAAGATAAATAGTCCTGGTGTCAATACATCACATTACATCTTATGTTCTGAAACATCAAGAGTAGTCTTATGATCCTCTTCTGTGTAAAGAAAGTAGAAAAATTAAAATATTATTGGTTTACAGCAGTTACGCTGTTTCTATACTAGCAGCAGAAAGTAGCAGGAGGAAGTCTCCTGAGTCAAATACGTGTACAGAATTTCATTGGGCTTCAATTTGACATGCTTTTTAACGAATACCAGTATAGAGGATCTTCAATTGCAAATTTATGGAGCAAAGTTTTCTATAGTGCTATAGAATCTGAAAATATCATTGGAACCAAAAATAACATAGACCTACTCTGTGCAGATTATTTAGGGTTTAGGTCTGAAATTATTAATCAGTGGAGCTAGTAATGGGTTTCTCTGAATAGACAGTCAAAAACTGCAAAGGCAAGTATCTCCTTGTTATTCCTTTGAGATCCAGCTTAAGTCTTTTTTTTTTTTTTTTTTTTTTTTTCCTATTTTTTTCTATATTTTATATATATTTTATTTCTATTTTCTGCACGGAATAGTAGCAAGTGTCATTATCTTTCATACACATTCAAATAATCTATTTTCTGTTAGTGTAGCACGCATGTATATGTCTTCTTTCAGTTCATAGGGATTGTTCCTCCCCTGTCCATTGTTTCTACTTCTCACGTATTACCTAAGAAGGTTGGAATGGCAATTACATTCTTTCTATAAGTGTTCATTAAATTCTTAATCTACAGTCTTCAGAAAATTTTTGAAGGTCAGATAGTGTATGGGAATATTGACTTTATGAATATATTCATGAGCTTCTTGTGACAAAGTTACATTTAAAAATCATTTCTCTTCTTACTGTATGATACAGTAGAATATCTGATTTGAGAGAATGTGCTTTCAATTGTGCCCATACAGACAAATGGCAAAGCAAAATGCAGAGTATGCCTAAAATGCAAAAGGTGAGGAAACTGCATATGAATATAGCTTATGACAATAGCACTTGAAAATATAACAGATATTAGCTATACCATCCCACTACAGTTTCTGTTGCTAAAAATTTATATTATCTTCAAGGCAAGTGAAGACATCTCATTTGTAATACACTGGAACACCAACTTTTTTTTTTTTTTTTTTTTCCTGAAGGCAGGAAATTCACCATTTATTTTTATTCTTGTTAAGCCGAGAGCTCTGCTAGTCTGAGAAACAAAACAGATGCAATCCTGCTTGCTTTCTTTCTCTTTTTCTTTTTCTTTCTTTCTTTCTTTCTTTCTTTCTTTCTTTCTTTCTTTCTTTCTTTCTTTCTTTCT